CAAGAACGCGATCCACACATACATCGAACAACCACTGGACCCGACGACGTACCGATGAGCGATCAACGGCATTTATAGGGAGTCGGTTGCCACCTACCACGACTCCCGGCCTATGAATGCCGTAATTAAGAGAGACCCGCCCAAGTACGGTATGCATGCTCTTGCTGTTTCAACAGCTACCTGTCCAGACTAGATCCGAATATCCAAAATGAGTTCGCGGGATTTGGAGACTCCCCGCACGTTACCAGCCACCTCTTCACATGCCAGCTCAACCTCACTACCGTTAGTTGAGCTCGACGACAATGATTGCTGGACTAACCGAAATGGGCGGGGCTTAGTAGTGCCGCAACAACAACAACAACAATATATGAAACTTTGCAATATAACTCCTCCATTTATGCAGCTAAGAAAATGAAATTATTATAAACAGAGAGTTTAGTGTGAAAATTACAAAAATCTGGTAACTATAGCTTATAGCTTCCATAGAACTGATTATTTTTATATGAAGTTTTATACTAAAACTCCTTCATTTAGACAGCTAAAACCTATAGTTATAAAATTATATAGTGTACTCTATTCCTACATGTATCTAAATAAATACATACATATACATATAGATTATTAGCACGGAACTTTTACTTAGTCTCATACAAACTTTTTTATTCCAAAATACATATGTACATACATCTTCTTGCACTTAATTCCACCCCCACTTTTAATTTGTATCTCATTCGCGAGAGTAAATTTCATTTAATTGCATATTCATTGAAAAAGTCTACGACCGAGAAATAATTGTGTATGTGTTTTATGGGTAGTAGGGCTGGGAAATTCATCCGGATTTTTCAACTATCCGGATAAACCGAATATTCGAATATCCGGATTTTCGTTATCAAAACGATATTTTTATTTCCCAATACCTGGCGCTCATTAATGTGTAGTAACAAGTTTTCTATTTCTATGCACAAAATTGTTTGTATAAATTTTTAAATTTCCGAAATTCTGCTTTGGAATTTCAAAGGCTTCTACATACGAATTAAAAAGTTCAAAAAACAAATTTATGCGTATAGAAAACTGTCTACTTCATATGCATGACCGCCTGGTATTAGGAAATCAAAGTATCGTTTCGTAAAAATATAAAATTGACCGCGAGAGATTTTTCAGGACTTTAAAGTATCATGGACGGAGTAATGAAAGCTTTTACGATACTTTTGGTCGTGGTGAATGCTTTACCAAATTGTAGCATTTCTAAAAAAGTGATGACAAGAAAAGTGCCATTGGTTTATATAGTGCCAAAACGATACAAAACAAAGGGTCGACTTCAAGTCCGTCAAGAGCTAATTCACTCTATAGTGCGCATAATTCAATTCACGAATAGTATTAACCAGTTTGTTGATTTTTTTTTTTGGATATCCGAAAATACGAATATTAGCCGGATCTTCGTAAATCCGGATATCCGAATAATTTAACACGCGCATATTAACCGGATATCCATACTCTCCGGATTTTATTCGTGTCAACGGATAATCCGCATGCATATCCGGATATTCGAATATGCAGATAGTCCCAGCCCTAATGGGTAGGCAAAGGTGCAGGCGTCATGAAAGCAAACAATGGCAAGTGCGAGAAAATAGTGCAGAAAGTACATGCGCATACATACAAACATAAAAGTCGTAAATATGCCACCAAGTATCCGTATCCCTTCTTATGCTGCTTTACCTCCGTGCGACGCTTCTTTGCCACAACTATTGCTCAGGTTGAATGAAGAAACGCGGCGCGGCGCGGCGCCTCCTTCAGTTACTTAGCACTTAGCACAGCTGCTTTTCCTCACTTACTTATTTACACAATTTTCACTGTTGCTTTAACTTATTTTTATTTTCACCTACCCGCGCACCCTACTTTTCCCAATTGTACTTTGTTTGTTTGGCACTAATGCGCACAAATATATGCGATGCTGAAGCAGTGAAAAGCGCCAGCGCCTACAAGTAAGTCCTCCTATGCTGAGGGATGTGTTTTATGGCGCTGTAGTTGTTTGTGTATAAAAGTGTGTGCATTTCCGTAGTCTGAGGATTTGCTGAAAAAATATGTAGGCAAGCTTTCAAATGACAGATAAAATTTAGTAGTGTGGAATTTATAGTATTGAAGTGCGGCTTAAAATATCTGTACATGTACATATACATACATGTACATACTCAAGTTTCGTGTTTAATGAGGTGAAAGTAAATGACACCCTGTATGGGCCCCTTATATCCCATTGCATTTCTTTTCCATTCACCTCTTTCTTTCAATTTTGATACGAATACACAACTTTTTTTTTGCAGATATGCTAGCTATTTGTTTGTGTACTTTTAGATTGCTTTTTGGTTATATATTTTCCGGTTTTCACGCACTTTAAACATGAATGAGGGGCTGCAGAGTTTGGCGATTTATTTATATTTACTGCTACGGCTTTTTTGTTAATCTGATTTTGATAAAGGTAGACATTTTTGACAAGAGTATAACTTGCTTTAAGATTACTATACTTAGGAAAATATGTGTTGAAATGCCTACTTACTCTAAAACTGAGAAAGCTATGGCATTGCTTATAACTTAATTGTGTGGAAAATCAATCGCAAACACGCTATTGGAGTTTGCGATGCGAAGCTTTCCTTAAAATTTTAATCAACTTGCCATTGATTTTTAGATTCTTATTTGGTGCTTTCACAACAACTATATATAAATAATAATTTAAAGTAAAAAAATATTTTTAAAATAAGCTTTCTATACATGAACGGAATCGTTTTTCCAAATATTTCGAATCCTGAACCTTCTTTTTTAACCGACTTTCAAAAAAGGAGGAATATTTTTTTTTTTTTTTTTTTTTATGTATGTTACCGCATAACTTTGGACCACGTCAACCGATTTCGATAATTCTTTTTGCATCGGAAACGTAGTGTCTCAGAGGTGGTCCCATACTAATCTGGTTAAGATCCGATTAGCGGATCATGAGATATATATATATATTTTTTTTTTTATATGAGAGTTGAAGTCGGTTTTTTTTTGCTAAAACTTACTTGTTTTATTATCAATTAATTTTAGTGCTTTTATTTTTCTAACTTATTTTAATTTTTGACTCTTACTTTATATATTTTATCCCTTTTTAAATTTTTTTTCCTTCTTAAATTAAGTTTTTTATTTTATGTTTTAATTTCACCAATTTTTTAGGAACTTATTTTATTTTGTTATCTTCTGAAAATGTTTTTTTTTGTTTTTAGTTAAATATTCTTTAAATTTTTGGATTTTATTGTTTATAAAAAACATCAACAAAAAATCTACTATTCTTTTGTTAATTTAATTTTCTTTTAATTTAAATCTTTTTTTTTAGAATATATTTTTTAATTTAATTTCATTTTTAGAATCTTATTTTATTATGTATCTGTCTTTTTTAATTATCATTATTGTTTTTAATTTTTAGGTGTTGTTTTAAAAAATAAATATATTTCTAATATTTTTTCATTCTCTTTTTTGATTTAATTTTATTCTATAACTATTTTATGTTTTAGATTTTATTGTTATAAAAAGAAAAATAATTTAATTTCATTTAATTTTTAAATTAATTTTATTTATTTTTGCTTTATTTTCATTTTATTAGTTTTTCCTTTTTTTAATTTTATTTTATTTTATTAGATTTTATTATTTGAAGAAGAAAAATATATATACAAATTTGTTAATTTAATTTAATTCTTTAAAAACTTATTGCTAGAACGCTTTTGTCTTTCGAAAGACTGTGGTGAGTTGAAAGACAGTCGCCAGAATCGCCCTGTAAGTCGCTGGTGCCAGATGTGGGGATTTCTGAAACCATTTTGGGAACGATTGTTTCATGTGGGGATTTGATGAGGAATTTTGTTTGGTTTCAAATTTTCATATTGAAATTAAAATGCATATATTTCACTGGCTGCCTTTAAAAATTTCTCGAACAAATATTTTTATGTACATACTCTTTGCGTGGTATGTTAAAAAGGTTCTTCACTTAGTGTAAACAGATTTTACAAAATGGCAAGCGAACAAAAAAAAAGCAGATTAGTTGGGCAAATTTACAGACAGCAGTGGGAATAGGAACCTTGGGCCGAAGGTATGTTATTAAATAGTCTCCAATAACCATTAAAAAAGAGACCTCGTAACATAAATAACTAAATGATCTCATACGTACTTATGTATATATCGCTCTCTAAATCAAAAACAGTCACAACGCAAAATTTTTCAATATCGATTTTTTCTCATAAAAGGGTTAACGGACCGTATTTCCATCGTTTGCCAAAATTGACTGTTTTTGATTTAGGGTGCGATATATATAAATCTGTGAAGATTTGTAACAGAAAAGTATTCAAAACTGTAATTAAAATTAACGAACAGTAATGAGAATGCAAATTTTTTATTTCTTACTAAAGCGGATTTTTTGAGGCTTGAAATGGGGATGCTGTACAAAAACATTCTGGCAAGACTGCTGTAAGTGTGGCCATAGCTGCAGGGTTTCTAAATATTTGGGCCCCTGCGCCACCTAACGGCTAAATTTTTTGTGGAGTTATACTCTTCTATCTGAACCAAATCGGATTTTTGAAATAACTGGACGCCTGCGCCATAACGGGTTCAAAGCTTAATTTGAAGTTTCAAGTCTTTAGTTCATTGAGATTGATTGCAAGACTTGAAAAAAAAGAATAATGTTTGCCTGGGTTTAAGGCTTGGTAGAATTGATTACCGCTCAGAGGAGAGCGAGGGCTTTGGAAGTACCATTGACATACTTGGCCTTTGAGAGAGTAGATTCGTAAAATCATTTATAACACAGTTTTATGTTATCGAAGGTACTATATTGAGATTTTTTTTCATCACCCTAAAGTAGGCTATATACTATGGGCGTTTTACTTCAAATAAGGTTCTCGATTGCGAAGTATATTATAAACAGTTTTTATACAAAACACAAATATTTGGTTTTAAGAAACTAGTCCAAGAATCTATTAAGTACTCACCTCTTCTCTCCAATCTTTGTTTCTCGTGCAATGATAATCCAATGACCGTACTTAGAAATTCTGGTCAATACTTCCTAGTTTATTGGCTAACAAATTCACTGTAATCTTATGCTACAGCACAACATTGTAAGTTAAGATCGTACTTTAATTATTTATGTATGCATATGTATGTATGTATGTAGGTCGCAAATTTATTTGAACGATTTTTTTTTTTTAATTTTGCGTTATTTATATGTTTCTTTTTTCTAATATCTTATAAATGTTGTTATTCTTTGGTATTGTTGAGCGCTTAAAAACGATGACACTGCTTAGATACACTTTATTTCGACAAAAACTAAACTGGCGAGTTTTGTTTTTAAGTTGTTTAACACTTATGTATAATAACTTCAATAATTATTTTATTGCTGAATGCGTACGTTTTAATTTATATGTATGTATGTGTGCGTGTACGTTGCTGCTAAATTTTTTTTTTGAATTTTTTTCTATGCTTTCTATGTTTTACTTAATGTTAATGCATGAACAACTTTATTATTTTGTTGCGTGTTTTCTTTTTTAATAACTAATTTTAAATGCGAGGATTTCCGTAGAAGGACATTGAGAAGATTTTTTGTTGTTTCATTTAATCTATAGTTTTTTCAAGCTTTTAACTGATGAAATGTTTGTTTCACATGCCGCGCTTTTTTATGTCTTAATATTTTTTTTTAATTATTGCGTGGAATTTTTTTTACCAACGTCAAGTGGTCACAATGCAAATATTTTTTTTTAGCTTTTTTTTGTGTTGAATTATACAAAATTTGCGTATGTAGTATTGTGTAGTTTGAATAATGAATTTTTAATGCAATTATCTCTAATGCAGTTAATGAACTGTAATTTTGTTTTTTTTTTTTTTGGTTTGTTTTATTACGTGAGATATTTTACGTTTGCGCTTTGACAAATAGTTAGCTACTTGTTGACTATGAAATTTGATATTTTTATGCTAATTATACAATTTTTTTTACACTTTGCATGAATATGTACTATGTGCGTGGTTTTTTGCAAATTACAACTATATTTTTTTTTTTGGTTTTAATGACTTTAACTACTTGATCTCATGTAAACCCTATGTAATGGGAGTGTAAAATGTTGGTGCGCGCCAGTTGTTAGCTGTAAATGACAGTTGCACTTGTTCTGAAAGTTTTATTTTCAATTAAATTTTATTCAAATTTAATTTGGCTTAGTGTGTTTCTCTGCCAATTTTTGCATGATTACCCAAATTGTTTGCAAGTTTTAATAATTATTTACATGTGTTTTACTGCAAATTTCGTTTTCTATATAATAGAAATATTTTTGTTTGTTTCACAAAAAAAAAAATTTCATTCAAATTCTTGCAACTTTCGTTTTGCCACTTTTTTTAATTTTCTTTCTTTAACATTGTCGTTTCTTTCAGATTTTTTATAATCCGTATATATAACTACAAATGTATGTGCTTTTTTTATAAGTTTTGTTGATTTTTCGTCGTTTCGTAAGTTTTATTTAGTTTGAGTTTCGCGAAGATTTATTTTTAAATTATTTTTAGTGATGCTCGGCTGTTGTCAAAACTTTATTCCACCATTAATTGTCTAACAGTTTTCACCCACTACCAAAATTTTCAAAAGTCTTATTTTTACGTTTCTTCACACCTTAAAATTTTTTACAAACATTTTATGTTTTTTTTTAGGGTTTTCAAGTTTTTTTTAAGCATAATTTTAAGCACCGCACATTTGCTTGCTCAGTCACACAACTTGCGTTTTAAGTTTTTTTTCTTGCTAGCGGTCGTCAGCTGCTGCATTTTTTTATTCGTCAGCCAATTTTTTACTGTTTTTACACTCACTACATTCTACATTATTTTTTTTTCCTCTGACACTCATGCCTCCTGCTGCTTAAATATTTTGTGCGTTTTCCTCCTTATATTCATTAACTTTTTATAATTTTTATTTCCGTCTCTCATACACTCACCATTGCTTGTGACTTGCTCTCATATTTGTTACCAGTTTATTTTCGTAACTGTAAAGATAAAAAAATGCAATAAATAAGTAGCATAGTAAAGTCATAAAATTGTATTGTATATGGAGGAGAAGCTCGGCCAAACACTAACATATATGTAAGCGCCAATCTATACATATGTATGTATATATGTATATATGTATGCAAGCTAAATAAATTCTTAAATTTTTTTGTTAGTTTAATTTTGCCACATTTTCTTAATGTTCATATGCCTTCATTTGACCTTCAAAGCTTTATGCGCACACCCATACGTACATAAGTACTAATAGTTGCATACATACAAAAGCTGCTAGACAAAAGCCCTCAAATCGCGCGCTCAACACAGTCGCTTGTCCTTCGAGCTGCTATCCACTAGTTGCTTTTGTGTGTTGCTATGTGTGTTTCATTCATTCTTTTAGCCATTCATACTTTTATGTTTGTCCATTGTGTTGGCAATTAACTTTGAAAATGAGCATCATTCCTAAGGCCCAGCTTGTGGTTGAGTTGAGTGCAATGCACTTAAGCTTGACATCTACTTACGTATACTTAGTAATGATAGTAATAAAAATGCACATATTTTAATTTTTTATTAACATTTTTTCATTATCCTACGGCAGCTGTAAATTTTGGGGAAAAGCGTTGAAAGTCAACATACATATGTATATGTACATACGCCTTTCTTAAAACCAAAAATATCCTCAGAAGTGCCTAGAGTTGGTCTTTTTAAGAAACATATCGCAATTACCTTTTAAGAGTCGTGCTTTTCGCCACTTGAAAAAAGAACGAAATTAATAGCATTCTGAGGCAGGGCTTCCCTGCGTTTTATTTGCACCGCAAAGTTTTAATTCAAAGCCTTAAAACGTGAAGAAAATTTTCCAACACTAAAAACCGTGTGAAATCAAACCAAAGCTGGCAGCGCTCTGCGAAGTTGCAGAAATCTTTGAAAGTATGTTCGAAAAATTTTTTATAGGAAGGTAATGCAAAAACAGACAAAAAAAATTCTCAAAAACAACACGTTTTTTTAGCAACTTCAGGGTTGCACTTTACTACACTAAAATTTAATGTGCTATAAAAGTGCACAAAAAGTTGGGGATTTAGATGAAACTTTGCAAAGTTTTGATAAATTTTCCCAAAAGCTTCAAAATTGGGCCTATATGGTTTTTGTTAGATAGTGAGCTTTAGTATACTTTTATAAAACAATAATAAACCTTAAAAAAGAAATTTCCAAAACTGGTTAAAATGTCTTCACACTATTAATTTTTTCGACACTTCAAGCACTGACTGTATTTTCTGTTTCATAATACGTAAAAATAGAAAAATAAATAATAAACTATCTTAAAACTGCGATCTACCAAATTTTTTTAAAATCTATTACATTTTTCCCATATTCTACCACACACTTCTTTTTTTTTAGTCCGAGCACTGTTCCCTACCACCTCTTTAGCAGTACTTCGTAAATTTTCACTCGAAAAATAGCTTCAAAGTTAGGATGTACCGAAATTTTTTGCTTCGACAAAAGGTTGTCTGTCAGAATTCCCGACAGAAGCGACCACCATCTTTACGCGGCCCCCTGACCGCTGTATCGCTTTCAGGGCCGAATTAACAGCTATAAGGGAGTGTTTCCTCGAAATTGGCTGTCTAATGTAGAAGGGCCTTAAATGAGCCAGCCGGCTTAAGTGACCTTTAATGTGGTAAGGGCACACGGGCACAGTGAAATACCTTGAATGAAGTTGCGCGGCTTGCAAGAGGCGAACTGACCTACACTTAGTTAACTCTGGGCATAATGCAGGCATCCACCAAGCTTCCTGTAAATGCCGACTCACATCGGCAACCACCATATCCTAACGTAAGCTACTACAATTTTTTAATTACGATTTCTGAAACAACTTTGGATATGAGAGAGTATCTACATACATAAATGCAGTAAGGTTTTTTCGTGTGTATTTCACAAATTTAGACTCTAACGTTATCCACAACCTTTGCAGCCTTAGTGCGTTTGCCAGAAGATTGAGAAGCTTTTAAGATGTACAGCTATAGGATTTGTGACACTGGGTGTAAACTTTTAGGATCAGCTTTTTAACCTAAATTTAAGTTCCTTTGTTAAAAAAAAAAGGTTTTTATTTATGGTTTTCTTCTCTTAGATATGTACATACTTCCTTTTCTGTTGTTGTCCGCCTCGCAGAAAGGTGTTCTCTGCAAAAGGTGTTCAGTGCCTTTTCTTCACAAGACAGAAAGAGAATTCTATTTTGTGAGGGTTATAATCCCTAAGTGCTCCATTTTTCTACTATCTGCTGTTCCTAAAATAAAGTTATGCGAATATGTTCAGTTAGGAAGAGAGGAACATGTAAGAAACATTGTATACAGTTACTAATTCTCAGTGATCCAAGTATTATTTAGAAACTTCGTATGACCCCAACACTAATGCTGCAAAACAAAATCTGGGGCCTTGTAGAGTCTCCCTTATAATGGAAAACAATCTCCACTAGGTAAGATCTTTCAAACCAGCTAGGACATAGCAAATTCTGGGACTAGTAGAAGCTCCCTGGAGAAGCCAAATGAAGTTCCCTACAAAAACCATTCCAAGTCAGCTTGGAGGTAATATTTCATATTATACTATGAATCTCTGCACTGACGCCTATAAAGCTTTTTGAGTGCATAGTTATTGATAACAGTGTTCGCCCAGAGGTTGAAACTCAACCCCTCAAATTGAGGAGAGTTGGGGTGAGGTAGGGTGAGTTGAGTTGAACTAGGTAAAGTGAACTGTAGCTCGTTTCTGTAATTCTTCTCTACCGATTATTTCCCTACTGGTAGAGAATATACGTCATTCTCTACTACTCATTAGCAGTAGAGAACAGGTCGGCGAATTCATATCTTAATACGCCTTGGTAGAGAATTGTTACAGAAACGAGCTACTGATGTCAAGTGAAGTGAATTGATATCAAGTGAGCTCAGGTAAGGCGAGTTCAGATAATTTAAGATAAGTTAGGCTGAGTTGAACTTAGGTAAGATAAGTTAAAGTGATTTGAGGTGAAATACCATTAGCGTAACATAATATAACGTAATATAACATAACAAAGCATACCATTACAGACCACAACATAGCGTAACATACCATAGCATAACATAACATATATCATTCTTCAGTTTTATATGCATCTTTGTCTATCTCTATCACATTCTCTATCTAAATCTTTGTTTCTATCGTTTTTTTATCTTTACGATTTTTATCTTTATATGCCTGCACTCATTAAAAGTGTCGAAGGGATGCTACTCAAAGTATTCCTAGAAAATGCTCGATTCCACTTGTACTCAAAAGTACTCAGCCGAAAAATTGTAATTCAATGACCGTTTACAATATAAAATCATACAGCGGCGAAAGGCGATTTTTTTTTTTTGGAAAAAAAATAGTTCCTGCCTTAGAAAATAATCAACCAAAAATTTATTAATAAAACCAAATTCAGACTTGAAATTGAATCAAGACGATTTTTGTTTGATATTTGCAATGTCATGGTTGATATCTTCAACAACGATTTGGTAATATTAACCACTCTCTGGTTTACATTAAACAAACAATTGGTTGACGATTTTTTCGTTTGGATACACTTTCACAGTTGATTTTTCGTAATTAAAAATAACAAAAAAAAATAATTAAAATTACATGTATCCTCTTATAGAATTCGGACCCAAACCTGCTGCAAGCCAAGTAAATAATTCTAAGTGCTGATGT